GACAAACGACCAATCGAGCAATACTCCCACTTTTTAGTGAACTGAAAATTTGCATTTTTTTTTTTTGAAAAATAGCAGGTACATGATTGCCAGTTTTTTGCATGAAGCTCGGTCGAAAAAACGACCAAGCTTCATGCAAAAAACTGGTAGTCATGTACCTGGAGGTCCGCGCGGCTCCATAATGCCCACCTTCATCTCGACCGACACTCTTCCTCTTACATGCCGGAAAGAACCAAAACTCGGCCAGTATGAACCCAAGTGTTAGGTTATAGCGCAGGGATCATTCCTGCTGTTAGCGAGTTTAGTGCAAAAACCTGCGAGTTTAGTGCAAAAACGTATGATAGCACTGGCAAGACTGGTGCGTTCCAGCTTGGGTTTCATATGAAAATTTCCGTAAACCTCGTTGATAAACGCGAGAGAGATCTACGCAGTAGCGCGAATTTAGGTATATAAATGTCGACACATGAAGGTGGTCAGATTCATGTAAAATTTTCATTATATTTTCATATTTTTTCGTTTCTTTATCCTCGCTCATTTTCATTGTTGAGCGCCATCACTTGCGGGATGGTATAACAACAGTTCTTGTTGTTCTTAAAACCCTGCTTCGTTTAAACGACTTGCCTTGCAAATAATGTGGCAAATATAAAATAAGTGATAATGGAACAGTGTTATTTTTTCCTGGCAACGGCCGTTAGTTTATGGCTTTCAGTGCGATTAGGTTCATCTGTTTTTTTTCCGTTGCTTTTTGCTGAGTTATGCACATAAATGATATTATTCGACTATCACTTAGTTTTGTGGCGGGGAGAGAAGGGATTACCACCTTTGAGCTATGGAGCTACTGAATGGCTGTATCATCGACAGCTCGACGCTAACAGTACTAACAGTCATGAATATTTTGGTAATGCTTCTTTAAATAGCAGCAACGGATATTTTTAAGTAAACTGAGACAAGCAAGCGCTCAGCACATGCATTTGAGGTTTTCACTAAAATGCAATGATTCGCCACAATATCGATAAACCGAAGTGCTGCTTATACTTACAAATTAGTATGAATGAATGATTAACACGTGTGCACCCCAGTGAATGATACTGTGCTTCATTGTATCTTGCTCTTCCTCACATAAGGCTCATACTGAGCGGTTAGATAGTTTGTAGGAAACCATCACTTTCGCAGAATTTGCAGGATCCAAATTTCATGCTCATCGCAACAACATATTCACCGATGAAAAAACATTACTTGTAAAAGCTTCTGCTGCGGTAATATTTGAAGACGGAAACTTGAGGGAGAAACAGACGGTGGAGGGACGAAGCGTGATGGCAGATCGTATAGTTGTACCAGTTGATCCGCTTTCCAACAAACCAGTGGAGCTGTGGCGCAAATATCTGAAGCAAGGCCGCATTTCGGAACCGATCAAAACACTAAGGTAGGTCGGAAAACAACAAATTTGCTCCCTGTCGCAGTGATGTAGTTTGGCGATTATTTGTCATACTCGAAAATTACATTTTAAAAGTTGAAACATTTATAATTTTGCGCTGGAACTGAGAAACTGATAAGCTATGAAACTGATTTTGACAACTCCCTGCGAAAAATCTTTGCACTGCTTCCAAATAATGATGTGCAGCTCCGCATTTGTAATCACACATAAAAATTTTTTGAAGGGAGTATGTAATAGAAAGATTTCGTTAAGGTTAGGCGGAAGGAAGAGCCTTTTGTCAAGTCTGTGAATACTCACTGGCTTCAGTAAATCCCATCAAAAATTTAAGGAATGTACAAACTACAACTGCCAAAATTAAAATATGCAACAGGTTTATTACTGCCACAAATATGCAGTAGTTTTTATACTTTTTGCATTTATGCAAATGCATTTAAGTTGGAACGCATCAGGTTGCCAGTGCGATCATGCTTTTTATGCGTTTTTGCTGTGCAGCCCCCAGCTTTCCTGGTTGCCGAGTTGAAAGCGCTGCTACAGCCAGCAACCCAGGCTGGAACGCACCAGGCGAGCCGGTGCGATCATGCGTTTTT